AACAGGCTACTCTCATTAGTATGACACAAGTAGAAGTTATCAAATGCCTTTATGACCAACATTATTTTATATCATAGCCTGGCCAATATTTGCTCTTGGGCCTGTGACACTCGGCCTTGAAGCCAAGACTTGTTAGTGCTAGCCTACCTAATTCTCTCACCTATCTATCATGAAATGGCTTCCAACATAAATTTCTCATTCTTAGTTATATAGTACAAAGAAGAGTGTTTTACTCATATTTGGCTTTGGACAAGATAAAAAAAAACCTTTATTTACAAATATTCTATTCCTTTAAAAATATATACAGAGAAAAGGATTTGGGTAAAATGTGATAAAATCACTGGAAATAAAGCCAAATTCTGATAAAATCAAGGAGAAGTTGGCGACATCCAGAAAATTAAAACCAGACATAACAGTTACAAGAGGGTCAGGGCAAATAGATGGAAGGAGAACAACCACATCAAATTCCCCCCACGCCCTCTACCAGTGTTTCTGTTCCATAAGTTAATAGCCAGCTCAGAAATGTCAAGTTATGTATAGTCTTATTTCTACCCACCTCACATAATGGTGAAATCCTTTATGTTTAATAAATACAATATCAGAGGAAGGGATTGTCTCCATTCAGAGACTACAGTAGGAAAACTACTTACTCAAAGTTGCTGAGAATTCTTTTAGGAATAATACCATCATATAACCTGGCAAACAGTGTTGAAATCCAGGCGCATTTTCTTATAAGCTGTTACCTCAACTCAAAACAAAATAGTACTCCTTTTTATGTGCAGGGAGTCACAGGGATCCTTCGTAGGTAATTAGCCAGAGCAACCTCTTAGGCCACACGCTACATCGAGGGCTGGTTCCTTCTCTTCTTTCAGCTCAGAAGCCCACACTCTCCCCTTGTGCACAATGAGTGAGAGAAGTGATAGACGGTGTTAGGAATATAACAATAGAGGAGTGTCTACTGATTATTGCACCTGGGACCACTGCTCATAGGAGGCCTTAAAAGCTTTAGGGTCTTGGCTGTAAATGCTAAATTAGGAGTGGCTTTTGAAATCTTTGGGCATTCGGGTTGGTTAATCTTTCCATTTACAGGAGGAAGTTTGACACGGTCAAAATCTGTTGCTGGCAGCTCTAAGGTAAAACGTGGGCTGATGTGAAATGAGTTCTTATGGGGAAGTTATCCCACAGCTGAAGCTTGAAGACTTTACACTCTTTCCTCCCACTAGGAGTTTGGTGCTTCTTAATCCTGTGGGTGTCCCAGAGACCCCAGGCTCATCATCACCTTCCTGGGGGGACTGCTCCCGTTGGGCTGCTCTCAGTTCCCTGGCAGGGAAAGAGGAAAGACATATGTTACTTGATCCTAAATTAGAGATAATATGTATGATCAAAACTGACAGATTTTTTTTTTTATTTCAGCATTTACTGAAACAAGCCTAGGCTATGCACAGAGTAGAAACTTCACTCCTGTGATTGTCTTTAAAAATGTCTGGCACACACATACCACAAAACATGGCAGGTTCAGTTTCTTAAATCCTACTTATTGGGACATAAAAAGACTTTAAAATTTCTATATATATAGAAACAACTCTACAGGCTGTGTATGAA